CACACACGTGCCTCTCCAATTACCCCACGTGCTTGTGTGTCTAATCCATTCTTCCATGACTCACCGATTCCCGAGGTATGGCATCGCCATCGAATATTACACTGGTCACCGAAATAAGACAAAAGGGGTTAAAATTTTTACCCCTTGTGTTGCTGCCTTCACTGCCAGATTTCACTCTTCAGCCATAGCACTCGAAGAAAAAAGAGGAAAACAAGAAAAACAAGTCAACCATCAACACATGCAACAAAAAGAGAAAAAAAATGAGACTTTGAACGAAAAATATAAAGATAACAACATCAATCAACAGAGGGGAGAGCATCAGGGGGAACAACAAAGAGATGGTTTTTTTTCAAAAACTAAAAAGAGAGATCCAGAGATTTTCGAAGAGAGAAACATGAAGAAGAAATAGGGAGAATCTTACCGTTTGTTGGAGGGTTAAACTTCACCGGAAGTATGTGTTCATCGAAGGTACATCCTTAGATCTGGAACGATCCGTTCGTTTTTAATCTTAGGGGTGTTCAGATCTAGGTTTAGGTGAGAGAAATGATGGTTTTGGGGTAAGTTCTTGAACTCTGACCGCCGTGGGCGGCGGCGGACTGCTCTGGTGAGCAGTGGCCGAAGGCTTCCAGCCTCCCCCCGACGAGAAAAAGAAGAGAGAATACATAGAGTTCTCTCTTTAGAGAGGGAGTTTTAGTGAAATGAGAGAAATTTTCTATTTAGGCCGGATTTTGGGCATATATTTTCTGGCCTGGACGACGTTGATTAGGGGAGGGGATTTCTGCGTTTTGGGCGAGTATGCAAACCCATCCCCGGGTCCTTCTAGATTTGTAACCTTCCGATTTAGTCACTACATGAAGTTACAATTCTTTTCACTTCGAGAATTTTATTTTACCCTTATTATGTTTTAGTCCCTTTCTACTTGCTATTTTATTTTTGTGCTTATTTTAATTTAAATACCTTATTTTAATAATTTCTGTTTTAGTCATGAATGTTGATGACGGTTTAATTATGATTCCAGTGCCTAATTTGTGTGATATTTTTGTTTATGGTCATGATTTTCGTTGGTTTTACAATTTAATCCTTAAAGCTACGATCTTTTCACTCCGTCTATTCACACACATATTCGATTAATTTCTTATTACTTGATTTTAAGTTTCCCATATTTATGGTATTTTGTTTAAGTCCACGTTGGTTTCTTTTTATCGGAAATGTGTATTGTATTGGGATAACATGTTGTACGAGGAATTTATGGAAGCATACCTTAACTAACAAGGAGTTCATTTCGTAGAATTGTTCGTACAAAACAATATATATCTTCTTCTTTTTTATATCTCAATGACTCCTTTTTATTTATTTAATGTATGTAATTCATTAAAAATTAGGGTAATATTATCTCATATGGAGAATCCATGGAAATACCCTTAACTGACTAGGAAGGTATTTTCGAGAATTATCCGTACAGAGTAATACCCCTTGTAATATATATATAAAGACGAATATTAATCTAAATGTATATTCAAATTTTATAATTTTAATATTCAGATGATGTAAAATCGCTTAGGTACTGATTTCGGGCGCTGTGGCAGTGGTAATCCTTCCCCACTCTTAATCGACTCTCAAACCCTTTTCAAAACAAGTTTATAGTTAAACACATATCACTTTTTATCTTTTAAATTTATTTTTCTTAAAATTATTTTAAAAGATATTTTTTAGTTATTTGACCTACTTAACCAGAAGGTCGATGGTGACTCCAAATTTGTTTATTTATGCATTTATTTTTAAACCCATTGATAACTCTGTAAAAAGACTACTTTTAAAGCCTTTTTCACTTAAGTTATTGTTTGTTTAAGGGCACATATAGGTCATTTTAGATGTATGTAGCTGCATATAATTGCATTTGTGGTGGTTGTGTTATTTTATTTTATTTTATTTTATTAAGGTGCTATATGAAGAGGAAGGTATGGTTTTTAGTGATGTGTAGGAAATAGCAATCAAAAGGGCTCTTTGGGAAGTAATGTCGTGGCATCACATGTTGCTGAAGCAGATTGAAATACCTTGGCATTTTTTGTGCAAAAAACGACAAAAAGATATTTCTGTATGAGGAGAGCTGGCTCTGCACGTGAAATGATGATTGTAACTGCATGATAGGGGACCATTGCCACCTGGAGGATAAGGTTCACGAACAAGGTATGAGGGGTATTTTGCACCCAACAACCTCATCATTACCCCTAGATATTTTTATTATATATTACACCTCACAAGAGAGAGTGTGTGGAAGAAAGGAGAGGTTCCCAAACCAGAAAATTATCATCTTATCCACTGTTTTTCTTCCTCCATTTTTCTTAGTGTTCCTCCATTGGTGAAGCTCAAGGGAGTGGCGAGCTAGGCATCTAAGAGGAGCTAGCGAGCTAAGGCGGTTCGTGGTGGCTGAGGGGAGATCCGATAGCACCCGTCGAAGGCTTTTTCCTTCATCCCTTTGTTGTTTTCTTTCATTTATTTTAGTGGGTTGTTTGGAAAGAATGTTTTTCATGTTTTATTTCATGGAATATTCGAACCTCACCATGAACTAACCTTATTTGGTTGGGTTGTTTTATGGATGTTTAAAATTTATTTTAATGGTATATTTATGTTTATCTTGGGTATTTGCTTACTCTGCTTATGAATGCATCATCATCTAGGCTTGTAAGAGGCATAAGAGTGTCCATTTCTTAGATGAAGGTTAGGTGTTCGAGAGAAACCTAAGCTAAAAATACTTGTAGTATTCGAGAGAAACACAAGACAAGATCCTCATAAGCAATGGGCTATAGTGTTTTCAAAGGGCTTTGAACCGGCCTAGGAATACTATATCCTAATCCCTTAGTACTCGAGAGAGACTAGGATAGGATTTCAACGACTAAAAAGGGTATTTTTATCAATAGTGTAGGCTGTCACATCGTAGAGTGAGAGCATATGCCATGACATTCTATTCTGTTAGGTTCCTTTGACTAGAGATAGTGGGAACACTTTCGGCAAATCCTGTCAAGCAAGTGAAGTTAGATAGATTAAATCTGCTAGAGATATAAGTTTTAGCATCATTAAATCATTCTCCATCACTCATTCCCGAAGTAGTTTCCTGTGTGAGGATTATCAAGTTATTTTATTTATTTGTTATCTTCACCATTTTCCTTTGTCATGACATTTCCTTTTGTTACTCATACGCATTTCATTTGCCTCGGCATAATCATTTATGAATACCATTAGCTATACTTAATTACTTTAGAATAGTGCATAAACTTTACTCAATATCCTTCCAATCCATGTGGTGACGATACTCACTCATCACTTTATTACTTTTGCGATTGTGTATACTTGCACATTATTTGTGTATAATTTTATAGTACTCACAATACGTAACAATTTTTTGGCGCCGTTGCCGGGGATTGGCAATTGACGATGTTGAGTTTAGTTGTTGCACCGTTTTATTTCTTTTCTTTGTACATAGTTACTTGTTTTTGTGTTTACCTTTTTCAGGTGTTACGTTGTTGCATGAACCGTAAAAAACCCAAATAACTATTATTTCATATTGAACCTGACGCTTATATTGTTCAAAATCATGTGAAGAATCCTGCAATTCTAAATGCCATGACAATTTCAAATGTTGGGAATGCTTCTCGACCACGAACTATTAGAGATCACTTAGCTCACAACTTGGATGACCGAAAACCTGCTATTATAGCTCCCAAGATTCAGGCAACCCACTTCGAGCTCAAATCGGTTATGTTCGACATGTTGAACTTGATTGGAAAGTTTTGTGGTGCTCCTCATGAGGATGCAAGACAACATGTTCGGTCATTTTTTGAGGTTTGTGACTCATTTTGACAAGAAGGTGTGCATGAAGATGAGTTGAATTGAAGTTATTTCCATATTCTTTGAAAGATCACGCTAGGGCATGGCTCAATGGACTACCTTCCGGATCGATAAGGTCTAGGGTTGAATTGTGCAAAAAAAACTACGGCATAATCCACTCAATATAAACAACCATCTTAGGAATGTCATAGCATCTTTTCACCAAGCTGATGATGAGTCAATGTATGAGTGTTGGACCACTACAAAGAATTGCTTCGCAAATATACCAACCATGGATTCCACGACTGGACTCAAGTCATGATGTTCTACAATGGAGCCAATGCACCCACAAGGATGATGCTAGATGTCTTGACGAATGGTACTTTGCTTGACAAATCACCTAAAGAGGCTTTTGAGATTTTTGATCAAATTACTAACCATGATTACCAATTTCCCTCTTCAAGGTTTGAAACTAGAATGAAGGCATCTGGGACATTCAACTTAGAAGCTGAAGATTCAGTGTCGGCCTAACTCTCTACCATCACCAATATGTTGAAGGATTTGCAACATTCTAATTAGATGAAACAAGTAAAGGTTGCTAGCTTGACATGTCTGTTATGTCATGGTAATCACCATGAATGTGAATGCCTAAACAATCAAAAATCCATCAACTATGTGGGAAGCTTCAATGGATGGAGTCAGCATCCCAATTTCTCATGGGAAAATCAAGGAGCTCGTAATGTCTGTCATCTCGCTCAGTATCAGTATATGGATGAGGCCCCGACCTTTCAAACGAATATGCCATGGCATAATAAGGGGACAACATCTTCACTTACTATAAGTTCTCTAGAGGCCACTATGCAAGACTTTATGGAAACTACAAAGGTTCTATTACAAGATCACGACACATCTATTAAGAGTCAAGAAGAATTATTACAAAGTCAAGGGGCATGGTTGCAAAGTCATAATTTGTCCTTGAGAGCTTTGGAAATGAAAGTGGGTCAAATTGACATGGCATTACAAGAATACCAACCAGACAGATTGCCTAGTGATACTGAGTCACTAAGGATAAAGGCAGTGAGCAATTTAGTATATTCACTTTAGACATACAACTTTGGAAACACTCGAAGAACCTAACTATGAGATTATGCATGAATAATCTCATTTGCAAGAAGACACACATTTGTTGGAGAACAAAGTTGAAGGTTCAAAGAGTAAACCCAATGATGGCATGCAAAATAATGCCACGGCAAAAGAAAAAACCCCACTAGCAGAAGTTGATGACCAAAGGGAAGCTATAGAATTATGCCACGATAATATTTTAGGCACTGGTGAGTACTTGGAGCTTGATGAAGAAGTCAAAGATGAGCTTAAGGATATTTCAAAGGAGACGGGTCAGTCTAGTTTACTCATAGCTAGACCAGGTATAAAATCTGAACATTTGGATTTCATTGAATTTACTCATCCTAAACTCCGATTAGCTACCCATTTTTCTAGGCTAGAAATTGTGAAAGAACTACATATTAAAATAGAGAAAAAATTCACTGATGAGAAATTATTATTTGCCACTACATTGTCGTGGTATGATGCCCTTATCAATTTTCTCGTTAGTGGTGTTTTACTTCCATACTTGAATAGTCAGGGAAAGAACAAGTTGATGCAGGCTGATAACCCCTACTTCTTCAAAGACTTTACTGCCCAAGCAATTAAAAAATGCCACGGCAACAAGGAGGGAAAAGAGATCCTATTTCACTACCAATTAGCTTTATGTGCAGAACACTCAAGATGAGAGAGGACTACTGCAAATTTCCTACAAATCGGGTTCTATCGACTTACACTGAAGGTGACGTTGTTATATGTATGGAGCATTTTGGTCTATACTGGTGCTCCAATCGAACGCGACAAAAATGTCATAACAATTCATGATGTTTTGGAGTTTGCATCCCTCCAACCCTCTTTAATTTATGTTTTAGAAGTTTTGTTTTTTTTCGTGGGTGTTTGTTTGTTTGTTTATTTTTCTTTGTTGTATTTCTTTATTTTTATTTTTAATATTATTTCTTTTTAGGACGAAGGGTGTTTTGGAGGATGAATATGATGAAATCTCATGAGGGAACTTCACAGGCTGCTGCAAACCAATATGCCACGACAAATCTAGATGCAATCGAGGCTCTAACAAGACGTAGTCGTGGCTCATGTTCATAAGGAGATGCTCTTACATTTGGCTTCTAGAGTGTGGGATGGTAGGTGTGATGAGCTGACTCCCTTCATAGCAGCATAAAAAGAAAAAAAGTGAAAAAGAGAGAAAAAACGTGTAGTAAGTGAAAAGGGAGTATAAATGTGCTTAATGAATGAGTTAATGCCGTGACTAGGGAACTCAATTAGAAAATGCATAAATTCATTAAGTATAGATTAGATACAATCACGCACACACAACACCATAAAGAATCTTGACCTAGGGGAAAGTACTTGAATTCTTGATATGTCTATCATGTTGAAGCTAATTTTTCTGAGGGTTGAAATTCAATTTTTGTCTTGTTGTCCTATTGATGAAAATTGACATGACATTTTGATTGTGTTAATTGTTATCCATTGCTTAAAACAAGCAATAGCTTAAGTTTGGGGGTGTGATAACTCCATAAAAAGACTACTTTTAAGGCCTTTTTCACTTAAGTTATTGTTTGTTTAAGGGTACATATAGGTCGTTTTAGATGTATGTAGCTGTATATAATTGCATTTATGGTGGTTGTGTTATTTTATTTTATTAAGGTGCTATATGAAGAGGAAGGTATGGTTTTTAGTAATGTACAGGAAATAGCAACAAAAAGGTCTCTTTGGGAAGTAATGCCGTGGCATCACACGTTGCTGAAGCAGATTAAAATGCTAGCTCTACACGTGAAATGATGGTTGTAACTGCATGATAGGGGACCACTGCTACCTGGAGGAAAAGGTTCACGCAAAAGGTATGACTCTACGGGTATGAGGGGTATTTTGCACCCAACAACCTCATCATTACCCCTAGATATTTTTATTATATATTACACCTCACAAGAGAGAGTGTGTGGAAGAAAGGAGGGGTTCCCAAACCAAAACATTATCATCTTCTCTGCCGTTTTTCTTCCTCTATTTTTCTTGGTGTTTCTCCATTGGTGAAGCTCAAGCAAGTCGCGAGCTAGGCGCCTGAGAGGAGCTAGGGAGCTAAGGCAGTTCGTGGTGGCCGAGGGGAGCTCCAATAGCGCGCGTCGAAGGCTTTTTCCTCCATCCCTTTGTTGTTTTCTTTCATTTATTTTAGTGGGTTGTTTGGAACAAATGGTTTTCATGTTTTATTTCATGGAATATTCGAACCCTACCATGAACTAACCTTATTTAGTAGGGTTGTTTTATGGATGTTTAAACTTTATTTTAATGGTATAGTTATGTTTACCTTGGGTATTTGCTTGCTTTGCTTATGAATGCTTCATCATCTAGGCTTGTAAGAGGCATGAGAGTGTCCATTTCTTAGATGAAGGTTAGGTGTTCGAGAGAAACCTAAGCTAAAAATACTTGTAGTATTTGAGAGAAACACAAGACAAGATCCTCATAAGCAATGGGCTATAGTGTTTTCAAAGGGCTTTGAACCATCCTAGGAATACTATATCCTAATCCCTTAGTACTCGAGAGAGACTAAGATAGGATTTCAACGACTAAAAAGGGTATTTTTATCAATAGTGTAGGCTGCCACATCGTTGAGTGAGAGAAGATGTCACGACATTCTATTCTGTTAGGTTCCTTTGACTAGAGATAGTAGGAACACTTTTGACAAACCCTGTCGAGAAAGTGAAGTTAGATAGATTATATGCTAGAGAGATAAGTTTTAACATCCTTAAATCATTCCCCATCACTCATTCCCGAAGTAGTTTCCCGTGTGAGGATTATCAAGTTATTTCATTTATTTGTTATCTTCACCATTTTCCTTTGCCATGACATTTCCTTTTGTTACTCATACACATTTCATTTTCCTTGGCATAATCATTTGTGAATACCATTAGCAATACTTCATTACTTTAGAATAGTGCATAAACTTTACTCAATATCCTTCCAATCCCTGTGGAGACGATACTCACTCATCACTTTATTACTTTTTCGATTGTGTATACTTGTACATTATTTGCATATAATTTTATAGTACTCACAATACGCAACACCCACATTTTCCAAAATTAAGTTGGATCGCTCCCCGCTATAGCCCTAAAAAGCTTAAGGGTTGTTCCGATAATCTTATTTCTAACCCATCATATTCATACATGGTATTGATACTATCTTTAAATTTTAGTAGAAAAAATAAGCTTAAAGTCCAATTAATAATCCTCACTATCGATATTCACATTAGATATTATACTAAAACCAACTTCGATGTTTCTCGACATTGATATCGCACTCTCAGTATTAATATTGAAAATATAATATTAATATCATACGAACATGATATTGATATCACCCTAATAAAAACCTAGATTTTTTTCTCTTTTATCAATACTTAAATCTAAAATTGTCATATTTTTTTGAAGATTACATCCAAACTATTTTCAAATATTTTTTTAACCCCTAAGGTGATTATTAAAGCTTATGAGAGCCTTAAGGGATCGTAATACATTATTTTCATGCATTTCTATTATCCAAATCTTTCATATCAATCCATAAGCACAGAAATCACCAAAACATATTTTAACTTCCAATACAAGAAAACAAGCTAATGTAAATGATATACATGTAGTAGAGAAGAGTTAATGTGTTACCTTAGTTTTCAAGCAATTCCCTTAAGTTCGCGTAGAATTAATTGCTCCTTATTCTTGTTCTTGGAGAACTCACCAACTCTAAAAGCAACATTAGTTATTGAGTTAAGATGTGATATCATGGAATGTCATGTTAGCAACGTGAACTGGCACGCTAGTATTGTAACGGTCAACAACGAAAATCATTGGTTAAAAGGTCACATTGTGTTTTTTTTAAGTTGAAGGGTCACATTGAAAGAAAAAATAATACGATGGCAACATTGATTTTTTTCCTCAAAAGTACAGGGACCTCTAATATCTTTTTGTCTAAATAATTCAAACATAAAATTTAAAAAACTAAATTAAATAATCTAATGATAAAACTTAAAATTTAAAAAGAATTAAAAGAAATTTAATCAAATTTAACATATTTGAGATTAAAAGAAATAATTTGAACAATAATTTAAAATTCCCGGGCAAAATTATTTTGAAAATTAGAGATTTAAAATATTTAGATGATTGGGAATTGATAATATATAAATATAGCTTTTATCCGATCGTCAGGTACCTGACAAGTGGGATATTGTGGCCCGTGACCCGACGTGTGAACTCATGAAAATTAGGTGGAAAAGTATTCGACCCTAAAGAAATAAAAATAAATATATCTGATTATTTTGATCTAAATCGATGAATCAAGCCTACCAAATAATTTTAAACCCCTAATCATAACACATGAAAAGAAATAAATATATCTAGAAAATTAGCAAAACTCATTCAAAGCATACAGACACTGTATCTTTATTACTCCTAATATCTTTTCTCTTTTATCATTTGGATGATATTGGTTGAGATATTATTTAAGGGGGGGGAAACCTTGTAATTGTACACGTGTGTATGTAAAATTAGAAATACCCTTTTTAAGATTTGGGGATTATTGGAATCTATTCAGTAATTTTAGTAGTTAAAAAGAGTGGTATTTTCTCTTGATGTTCTGGGTTCGAGCAGATACGCCTGTAGAATACGTGTGTTATTAATGATTAAAAAAATTATGAACAAGTATTACTTTATAATCATCTCATATAACTTTTTAGTGGAGGAGAAAAGGGTTTGTTGGCTTATGGTACAAACTTGGAGCTTAATTTAATAGAGTAATATGTGCATCATTCAACTAATATATAATTATGTGGTGTATCGGTAAATATGAGTGGATATTCAATTGATTCGAACTAAATTTTATTTAAAAAGTTTTGGATCAAATCAATTTTATGAAATTTAATTCAAGTTTAATTAAGTCGAATTTTTGTTCAAATTTAATTAAAAATCTTTAAATATTATGGACTTTCTCAAACCATACAAGACATATATAGTTATTCATAATATTTTACATATTACATATTATTTAACAAATTAAATTTCATTTAAAATTATAAATATATATTATAAATTTTATTTTTTTTCAAATAAGATGTTTTAGGATAAAATATTAATGAGAGTATAAAGGAGTCAAGAAAAGAATTGATGAGAATAAATGATATGTAAAAAAATTATAGTAAAAAGTCTAAATTGAATAAAATACAAAGTTAGGAGACTAAATTTAAAATGGAATAAATTTATTATTAAAAATCATAATTGAAGTTATGTGTCAAATTTGATCAAAAATAGATTTAAAATGAAGAAACTAGAGATAGGGACAGATATGAGTATTCAGCCGGTTCAAGTTGAATTAAGTTAAAAGTTGTTAAAATAGTCGAAAAGTAGTATGTTATCATTCAAATTTTATTTAAATATAATTGAATGTATACATTTCAAGTCAAATCGATTTAATTTTCGATTTGAAGGAAGTTTTGTTTACCCCTACTAATAAATTATATTGTTTTTAATTTAGGTTTAGATTAAGTTGTGTTTTCGGGACAATCTCTTTCCCTTCACTTATATAAAAATGTATTTGAGAAAAAAATTGTGGTTTTTCAGGGTAAACTACGTATTTATTAATTAAATTATCAGTTTTGGTTTGTTTTAGTACTTAAACTTTTAATTTTTTAAGATCATACTTAACATTTAGTTTTTGTTTCATTTTAGTAACAGCCGTTAAAAACTTAACGCGTTTAGAACCCAAAAAACTTTTAATTTTTTTTTTTTTTAAAAACTTAAAGTTAAATTTGGAATGGAAGCACTAAAAAAAATAAAACTAAATTTTAGGTGTGATTTTAAAAAAACTAAATTTTAGATGTGATTTTAAAAAAACTAAAAGTTTAAATATTAAAATGGACTAAAACTAATAGTTTATATACTAAATTTGTAATTTATCTTCTTTTTTTTTACCATTAACAATGAGTATACACCCGTGCTTAAACCCATAATTTTTAGAACGAACAATATTTTCTTTAATCACTATGGTTTGATGGCTTAATTATCAGGTAAAACTTAAAATACAGTACTCAATCTTGACTATATCTATAAAATGGGAATAGAGATATCAGTTCATATCTCTCATGATCTTACATATCAAACACCTGATGGAGCATTATAGCGAATCTTGACATCTTTGGCCCCATCTCAAGATCTTGCACCCTAACAAACGTATCCATTGCTTTCTCCTTCACTCTTGTTTCCAGAAAATCCTCTGATCTCCAATTAATCAATACTTCCCTTCAATCTTGAAAGCAGTATGGATGAGAATTTCTTCCAGTTTTCCTCCATTTCCGATCCTCAAAACATAATCCCACAGGACGAAAGTTTGGATTTTGTTCCCATGGGAGGCAGCAGTAGTAATAGAGGCCGGCAAAGAAGATTGATGGAGAGTGAAAAGAGAGAAAATAGTAATGATGAGAAGAAGACGATGCATAGGGATATTGAGAGGCAAAGAAGGCAAGAAATGTCCACCCTTTATGCTTCTCTCCAAACCCTTCTCCCTCTTGAGTACATCAAGGTAACCCAGTTCGAATAATTGAAGAAAACTGCTCTCTTGGTGTTGCAATTTGCATATACTTATGATCTAGGGTTACTTTTCATGGTGCTTTCAGGGAAAGCGTTCGATATCGGATCATATGAACGGAGCAATAAGCTACATAAAGGACCAGCAGAAGAGGATCGATGAACTGATTGCAAAGCGAGACCAGTTAAAGAAAGAATTGGTCGAATCAAGCGGTTTTCGCCAAGGGACGACGAGTTCTGACGAGGCTTTCCCGAGCAGTGTGGTGGTTCGCCGATCTTTGGAAGACAGTGTTGAAGTCGTGGTCAGCACCGGTGTTGTTGCTCAAGATTTGACCCTCTCCAGGGTGCTGCAACTACTGCTGGAGGAAGGGCTTGATGTTGTCAACAGTATCTCTACCAAGATTGATGGAGGACTGATTCACACCATAAAACTTGAGGTTTGATTGTTCATTGATTACTACTAGGTTAAATAGGGGTTTTTGCATGCTAATTTACCAAGTGCAAATCCTTTATTTGGCTGTTGCAGGTTAGTGATCTGAGAGGCGTTGATGTGCCTTATCTGGAGCAGAAACTGAATGAAGAAATTTCATCCTTCACTAAAACTACCTAGCCAATAGATTGATCTTTTTCTCTACTTAGTATGATCCATATATGATATATATATTTATCTACACGTTTCCATATCATCTGCGAGGGTGTTTTTTGCTTTCAGATTAAAGAAATCTTGTTCTACATTTGTATTGCACATTTATTTTTCCTGTTATCACATGTGTCAGTGGAGCTTAATGTGGTGTTCTTATTATCATAAAGATCTTCCCTTTCTTAAAAGATAAGTGGCTTGATAAACTAGGCACACATTACTTGTCTTCCATGCATTTCATGTTCATGTCAAGTAGATTAGAACATAATCTGTTGGTGTTTCATGTAGCTGATTGACAGAAGAATAACTTCAAATATTTAAGAATTTGAGTTGTTTGAATAGAGTTCCACATGATATACAAATCCATTTCTGATATAGTTACATGAGTTATGTCAAAGTTTTGGGAAAAGAGTTATGTTCTGCTGGTGAAAATCTTTAAATAGTTTATACACTAAGATATTGCATCAAATGCAAACCTTTGTCCCCTAAAAGATTTGTTTTATAGGATGTTTAGTACGCTTCAATATATGCTTAAAGACCTTTCATCAATCTATTCATTTTCTTCGCATTTATTGTTCAGCTTAGCCCTTATTGATAGCTTTCTTTGCTGATTAACTTTGACTTACATTCATAGCCTGTGCCTCATTAGCTAATTAATCCCTTGTGCTATTTCTATATGAGATTACTAGCTAAGGAAAAATAAGCTCAAGTACCCATTTTAGAGAAGCATATTCTTTTAATAGTTTGGGGTGATCATGACAACGTACACACACGCACAAACGCAACAACTTATTGAACTTAGGACTTTTAGAGAGAACAACACTCGTTTTAACCAGCGAGACCATCTAATGATCGAGATAATGAATAGCATATGCTGCAATGCATCTCAATTATTTTATTATCATCTTTCCTTTTCCCCCTTTTAATTCGAATATACTCTTACGATAATAGATATAGTTGAATGCAATAATAAGACATGTTCTATTCTTAAGGAGATAAATCAATTTTAAACTTTAGGGATCACATTATTAGAAGAGACAACTAATGGTTCTGAACATATACTATAAAATATACGTAAAATAAAATCAAAATAAGCATAGGATGAACAATGCTTGCATATGGAATCATGCTACTATAATATTCATGACTAAAAAAAGGGTCCAATTCTTGTTGAGGATCTTTTAGTGTGTGCTAGTCTAATTTGTTTTGGATTTAATTGTGCTAGCATATTTAAAATTTTCAATAACAATAATGATAAATTCAATTAATAAAATAAGATTTACAATATATTTTAAGAGATTACGCAATTACCTTAATTATATAGAATCACACTAATTAAGTATCTCAATTATTAAAAGTTACAAAATGGTCCTCTGACTATAGAGTGTTGCTTTATCGAGTCCCTCGAGTATTAAAAGTTACAAAATGGTCATCCAAATATTCATTAAGTTCCAAAATCGTCGTTTTTCGTTAAAAATTAAATGTCATCTAAGTTGAACATTAACATGATGTTTGAGATATAATAGTCGCTTGAATTCTAGGATCCGATTTAATCATATCACAATTAATATATTCACGTTCAGTTAAGACTACCATCAATTTATTTAATAGAAAATGATGAGTTTGGAACATAATGAATAGTCGAGTGATCATTTTGTAACTTTTAATAGTCGATGGACACAACAAAGTAACACTCTATAGTTGAAGGAATAACTTTTAATAGTTGAGGGACTTACTAAAGCATCATCTTATAGTCATGGAACTATTTCTATACATTTTTTTCTAACGAAGCAACTAATTTTATTCAAAATAGGAAATATCCTAAATTACAATAAAGATTTACGATCTCAATCGTAAATTAAGCATAAAATTAGGAAAGTTTCCTATAATCATTGAAACAAAACTAGCAACATGAGATCACATAAGGACCATACAAAGAAATATTAAAATCTAACAAAAAAAACTTGAACAAATATATATACAAATAGATCTGATCGCATTAGTAAACGAACCACAAAAGGGGATCAAGCTATTGGAAGACCACCGACAAATCGTAAATCATACTCGAGCGACGTGAAGAGTTATCCACGAATGCAAATCGGGTATCTAACTCCAATCCGAGGGTTCAAAAGTAGGGAAAATCAACAAAATATCAGATAAGCACCGTCTTGATCAGTCGTGACGATGTCAAATCAATCCTTAGAAAAAGATAAATGAAAAAAACGTCCAAACAATAAAAAAAACAACTCAAATGGTAGAAGAAAATATGTCATAAAGGCAAATGAAAACGTGTTATATAGGCAGACTTATTGAAAATAAAAAAAATAAAAGAAAATAGAAATATGATATTAAAAATTAATAATAAAAAATACCGACGGTTGACAAACAATATTAAAATTAGTGCCGTCGGTCAACAAAGATGACTATTTTTATACTTTACCCAATTACATATTAATTTAATTGATATTATTGTTACTACAATGACTTCAAGATTAATGGTTCAAACGAACTAAAATATAGATAACGGATAATTTTTTAAATCATATTAAAAGAAAAGATCATGCTTTTTGATATTTTGTACGATAAAACTGAAACAAAGTCATATCTTAATCCATTAAGTGGTTGAAGTGTTTTTTTCATTTAAGCTACAGATTCCATTTTGGGTGGGAATTAAAATATAAAATTTTAAGTTTATAATAAATAATTTTTACTATTTTTTCATTAAACTAAGATGATTATAAAATAGTATATGTTCTAAATACTTTTAATTATTTGACAATAAACACTCACTCGTCATGATACAGTTGTTGATTATCAAACTTTTGACTTCTAGGAACAACAATGTTCCTTTAACCACTAAAAGACATTGATTCGTGAAAATTTTTACTATTTAAAATGGTAAATATATATATAGATATATATATATATATAGATATATAGATATATATATATATATAGATAGATATATATATATATATATATATATATATATATATATATATATATGTATGTATATGTATAAGTATAATTTTATTAGCAGTTAAGACTGAAGAGTCTCTTTATATATATATATATATATATATATATATATATATATATATATATATATATATATATATATATATATGAATATGTATAATTTTATTAGCAGTTAAGACTGAAGAGCCTCTTTTGAAATGAAACTTATTTACTAATTTTACATCACTTTCACACATGGTTTTCTGAACCGGACCGGTTAGTGAACCGGTCATGCTACCGGTTCACTGGTTCAATCGGTTTGATCGGTCGAAATAATCGGACGACGTCATAATTATTTAAAAAATTAAATAAAAATACCAAAAATATTTAATAAAAAATAATTTTTTATATCACAAATCATAACATATATAAGTTAAAAACCATAAAATCAAGTGAAACAAAATGATTCAAATTAACTACAACATAATATTTAAGGTAAAACATATTAAATAATAAATATAATTATATAACTATAATTAAAAAATAAATTTGGGGCTAAAAAAATCATAACAAAATGATATTTGTTTAGTTTAATTTTTTTTTAAAAACAATCTCACATGGCTAAGAAATATAGAAGAGCATCCCAAAAGTCTAAAGAGTAAAAATATGAGAACAAAACAATCACACATGACTAAGAAACATAGAAGAGCATCACAACTAACTTCTATAAATAATAGAGGTAATTTGACATTCAAAATCATAGAGTCTTTTGGTGAGCATTGAGTGAATTATTCTTTCACTTCAATCAAGCTCGAATTTTAGGCTTCAATCGAGCTTCTAAATTTTTTTTTAGTTCAAGCCTTTTTGAGTTCAAGTTTCAATATTATATTTCGAGTTTGAGTTGAACTTGATAATTTTTAGCTCGTTAGTTTGAGTCGAGTTGAGCTTACTTTTAAAATTTTCAAGTTCGAGTCGAGCTCAGCAATACTCGAGTTTGACTTAACTCGTTTAACAAACTACGCCTTTTGGTTTAATTTTTTTTTTAAAAAAATAAAATTTCTGATTTTTTCGGTTTTCAGCCGGTCCGGTTTGAATGGTTTAACGGTTCTTACCGGTTTATTAGTAATGGTTCAACCGGTGTAGATTGAACCGGACTATACAACGATTTCCGGTTGAACCGGCCAATCCGATCCGATTTTCAACTTTCACACAGTGTGAAACCTTGAAACAAAGCAGGAAAAAAAACCCTTTGATGATTATATTACACACACAAATCACGTGGCAAAATGATTCTTTTTCCTTCACTTAACAGACTACAGCTAAATGACAAAGAAATGAATTTGAAGCTATTTTCTAGAATCTGCCGCCATCCATGAAACGTGCAAATCTTTATCTTATTATTTCTATACCAAAAGCTGTATCATGCTTGTACAAACTATACCCTTTTTTATTTGGGTTTGGTCACCAAAGACCGGCAGATCCGCTCGTACGTATTTATTTTAAAATTCAAAATTTTCGTTGGTTATTAATATTATTGATGATGTCTTTAAAATTTTAAAGTAGACTATACATTTAGTACATAAATTATTAATTTTGGATTGTTTTAGTATATAATTATAATTTTTTTCAAAATCATATTTAACATTTAGTTTTTATTTCATTTTAGTACTTCTTCATTAAAATCTTAACGCGTTTTTACCTAAACTATCAGTTTTGATCCATTTTAGTATCTAAACTTTCAATCTTTTCAAAGCTTAATATAAATTTTGCAGAGTACTAAAATGAAACAAAACTAAATTTTTGAAAGACGAGATACTAAAATGAAACAAAAACTAAAATTTAGGTATGATTTTGAATAAATTAAAAGTTTAAGTACTAAAATGAATTAAAAATAATAGTTTGGATACTAAACACGTAATTTATCTAAAATTTATTTATGTTCGCTTTATTTAAAAATTATATATATATATATATAGAACATGAGCGGTAAATCTTGAGGCAGAAGTTGTGACCCTAGC